CCAATGTTGAGGAGCCTGTTGAACCCAAAGCTACATCAGATGGCAACCTTAGTGTTTCATTTGTTCCCAAGTCTCCTGGTGAACATTTAATCACGGTCAAGAAACGTAACCGACCTGTACCAGGTAGTCCGTTCTCCGTCATGGTAACAGCGCCAGAGCCAGCATGCGAAATTGGAAAACCATCTAATGCTCCTCTAGAAAATATCCCATCCAAAGATCTTCCAAAACTGGACGCTGGTCTATTGCGACCTGGCTCCACGAAGGAGGAACCAGTTCCGGTTAAAAAGACCTCCGATGATAATCTTTATGTTCCATTTATTCCTCACGAAGCTGGACCTCATAAAATCAATGTAAGAAAGGGCGGAAGGCCTGTTCCAGATAGTCCATACATTGTGGATGTACCTGAAAAGGTTTCGAAAAAGCCTCCAGTCGAAGAACTTCATCCTGTCGGTAAAGCATGTGATTTTGGTCTCGATATACCTGGAGTAAATATTCCTGGTGATTTCAAGAAACTAAGTGCGACATTGCAGCGTCCAAGCAGCAAGAAAGAAGAACCATTAAATCTGGAGCTTAATCCCGATAACACCTTGGGTAACATACTAGTTCGCTCTCCTACAATTTTCCTCAAATTTCTTCAAGTGATTTTGTCAACGTTATTTAACGGAAATAATCAAATGCAAATCCCAATGATCATCGTCAATGATTAATCGTCAATGTTTGCAAATGTTAATCACATAATGAACTATCGAATCATCGAATCACTAGCGCTTCTTCTTTGATTTATCGTGCCAATATTAACGTCTTCACTTTGTTTTTAGCATCCTGTTTTCATTTTTATATTTGTCCAATAGGGATATCATTCGTTCCAACGGAGCCTGGAAAGCATCTTGTTCACGTGAAAAAATCGGGAGAGGAAGTTCCCGGCAGTCCTTTCGAAGTAATGGTAGAAGCTGCTGAAGCAGTGAACGCTGTCGGTAGACCGTGTGACTGCCATTTGGATATACCTGGTTTGAATTTGCCCGCAGATCTTAGTAAACTAAAATCAACCTTGAAACGGCCTGACTCTGATACAGAAGAGCCAATCAAATTAAAGGTACTCTCCGACAACACTCTTAGTGCGTCGTTTGTGCCCAGATCCCCTGGAGAGCATTTGATAAGCGTGAAGAAGTTCAACCGACACTTAAGCGGAAGTCCATTCAGGTGAGGGAAAATATTGATATTGTTAATAAAATTATCCTATTGTATTCTGAGAGTCAAACTACAATCGTAAATTTACTTAAAAATTTCCGAAAACTTTTGTCATATCGATTAATGAAAGCGTTTTCATTGGCAGATCACTTTTCATTTCAATTATATATGCCGCTGAAGCTACTTTCTATTTTGTTCTAGTGTCATGGTAAGTGCCCCGGATGCTGCTAGCCAGTCTGTCGGTCGACCGTGTGGAGTTGGTCTAGAGATACCTGGTTTAAAACTTCCTGAAGACTTCGACCTTCTGACAGGTGTTTTGAAACGCCCCGGAAGCACTGTGGAAGAGCCGTTGAAGCTCATTCTCAACTCAGATAACACGCTCAGTGTATCGTTTATACCAAAAGAAACGGGGGAGCATTTTGTAAGCGTGTTTAAGAACAAACGTCACGTGAGTGGCAGCCCGTTTTCAGTGATGGTAAGCGGTCCCGGGCCCGCCAATGCATCTAAAGTAAAGGCCTACGGTCCAGGTTTGTATGTATACTGCTTGAAACTTATGCCTTTCAAAGGAAGTTTCCTAGATTTGTGTTAAACGTTTTCGACTGTTATTTCTTCATATTTTCTTTTATATTTTACATGTGCCTTGTAACACCTAAACGAAATTATTGTACTCAAAAAGTTTTCATTTTGAATGTTTATTATGATATTGATATGCCTTTTCTCGCAATTGATCCAACATGTATCAGTAACGACTACTTCTGTCACAGGTTTGAAATCCGGAGTGGTTGACGAGAAATCGGAATTCACCGTGAATACTCGTGATGCCGGATACGGAGGATTGGGCTTGTCCATCGAAGGACCTTCAAAGGCAAATATCAATTGCGTGGATAATGGGATGGCACGTGTGCTGTGGACTTTGTTCCTACAGAGCCTGGTGATTACACCATTCACGTACGTTTTGCCGATGAAGAAATTCCCGGAAGCCCATTTTCGTGCAAGGTAGCTCCAAAGGGCAGCAAGCGTCCTGTTGTTGACGAAGGGATTACGAGGGAGATGGTTGATGGTGTGGAGAGTGCACCTGCGCAGAGAACCTCTCAGCTTCTGGATGATCTAATTTCCTTTAGTCCTCAAGAACCGCACGACTTTGATCTGGACCTTGCGGGTTACGATCTGAAAAACTTGAAAGCAACTGTTGAAACACCAAGTGGGAAAACTGAACCGGCCGAAATTGTCGAAACTGAAAAGGATACTTACACCATTCGCTTTCTAACAAAAGAAGGTGGAATATACAAGGTTTGTGAAAAGATATTCTCTAGTTGTTTGTAAGTTTATTGTAGTAAATAGTTTGTTACACTTGCAAAAATACTAGATGAAAAAGTGTTTGTGCTCAAGTCAAGAGGAGACTTGCCATCGAAGCACATTTCATGCTCTTATGATCACTGTTCAATTTTCCTAGATCTATGTGAAGAATCGCGGTCGAGATATACCTGGAAGTCCTTTCCGAGTAAAGGTGGAAGCACCGAAATGGGGTGGCGCAGGTAAGTGCTCAGCTGCGGGGCCTGGTCTTGAACGTGGCGTTGTGAACCAACCGGCAAACTTCACCGTCTGGACACGTGACGCTGGCCCAGGGGGCCTGGCGGTTGCAATCGAAGGTCCAGCTAAAACGGAAATTAATTGTAAAGATAATGGAGACGGCTCGTGCAGCATCACTTACGTTCCAACTGAACCTGGCGAGTATGCCGTGCATGTCCGATTTGCTGACGAAAATATCCCGGGTGCACCGTTCAACGTCTTTGTAACAGCGGAAGAAGACGAGCGTTTCCGAGATTTGAGTGTTTCCGACATGTTGGAGAGTGGAATTACAGTTGGCCAACCTGCTTCTTTCTCTGTTCAAACAAACGGCCCAGTTGGTAAAGTCACCGCTTCTGTTATTACACCTTCCGGTACCGAGTCCCCAGCAACCGTTTCAGATCGTGGTAATGGTAGCTACGCGATAAGATTTGTCCCCAAGGAGGTCGGCATTCATTTGATCAATGTTCGATTCGATGGTGTGCATATTCCGGGTTCTCCGTTCAAGGTTAAAGTTGGTGGAGGTGAAAGTTACCCCAGTAAGGTAAAGGCATACGGTCCCGGATTGGAAGGTGGTGTTGCCGGCGAAGAAACCTACTTCACTGTTGATGCTTTACGCGCTGGCACCGGAGCATTGTCGCTGTCGGTTGATGGACCTGCAAAAGTACGAATGAATTGTACGGAAAACCCCGATGGAACGTACAAAGTTACGTATCATCCAGTTATTGCCGGCGAGTATAAAATTGTCATCAAGTTCGCCGATCAAAACATCCCGAAGAGTCCTTACAATGTTACAATATCAAGCGACGGTTCCTCGGCATTTGCCGAAAAGTGTAAGCCGGTCGGATCCGGATTGCATCGTGCCGTTATTGGTGAGCCAAATGCGTTCACTGTCAACTGCAGTGATGCAGGTCGAGGGTCTTTGATGGTCGGCGTAGAGGGACCAGCTATTCCTGCTAAAGAAATCAAGATTAAGCACACTGGTGGAAAAGTTTATGCCGTTAACTATACCTTAGAGGAACCCGGAGAATATGTTTTGAAAGTGTTGTGGGGTGAAAAGCACATCCCTGGCTCGCCATTCCATGTAACTGTATAACGATGCGAATGACGCGGTTGAGTAATTGTCTTTGGATCATGTCTTACATGAAGTGAATATGTAGTTTTTCATATAATTTTGCCAAATGTCAAATTTTGCAATGTCGACTGAATTATTTCTAATTCTACTCAATCATAAATACCATTTCAATACTAAATGAATTTTGGAGTGACGATTGGAGTTTAGGGACTATTATAGTTTTGTATTTTCTCTGTTGGCTAAGAGTTTTGGCTTTTTGATATAGGATGATTTTTTGTAATAATTAATACGTGCGCAGGTCTTCAATAGATTAGCTAGTCCTTTGTTTTCTATAAAATTTGTATTGAAAGTGTTTTTTGAATAGCGAAAATATTAAAAGTAAAGTTTGTTTAATGTGTCGTTCCGTTTCTAGTCTCGTTTTCAATACAGTGTTTTCAATACTGTTTTTGAATCCTCAATTTACATGCAACGCAAGACGGAATACTGGATATAGCTCAATTCGTTTGTTTTTTGTTATTTTCATGTCGGCATCACAAGGCTGATGAAATACTTTTCCATACTGATTGCTTTGCAAGCAAAATAGCTTTCTTGTGGTTATTTCGATGTTTTGCTTTGCACTTTGGTAATCTTTTCTATGTTACTCTGCGGGCACCAAAATACTTGTAATTTTAAAAAATTTTCTCACGCTGCTTGGAAAGCATATCATATTTGCCATACTGCTAATGGTTCGAAAATACCAACAGGAGTTTAAAATCTTTCATGACCCAGGTGCCTTGTTGATGAAAATTATACTCTAACAAAGTGACTACGAACAGCGTAACTGACAACTCGTAATGCCACGTAACCAGTACGAATATAATAACGAAATTAGTTGGCTATTGGTATCCAATAGCGTGCACTAAATGATTCGTATCATTTTAAACATTTCCCACCAGCATGTGTGTTAATTACGTACAGTAATTACACACCTAGCCTAACGGTATTGACCATGATTAGTGGCAGTCGTACTCGTTGTCATATAAAAATACCCGTCTAGTGTCGCGTACATTAACCTCTAGTTGAGCATTGCATGTTAGAATTACCATAAATGCACGCTGTTTGGGTTTGAAAAACTGCGGGGTGTCTCGTCTAATTTATATTTTCTCTGAGTCAAGGGCAATTAACTGCGGTTCTCTTGTTCCTTTAGATAGGTCATACCAATAATAATTTGGAATTTTTACTCGTTCAAGAGAATACGACTTTGGTATTGTCGAAATTTCGAAATTCGAACCCGTTTTTCTTCGAGGCTTTTACGAATGGTGTTCGTGTAGTTTGTCGTCAAGAAGTATTCCTAAATATTCTCGAACAAGGTGAAAATAATTGTGAGTACGTATCTGAAATACTTCTTTTCTCTTATAATGTGCAATAATTACAATTGAAGAACGCATCATTTCGTCATCTAACACAACATCAACCTAGCTATATTCAAGCGTTTGATTGTAGCTAAAGCAGTTAGTGTGTGCGATCGTTCGTCGTTTTTCAATTGGCCACTTCAATCACTTTATATATAGCTTGATGAAGTGATTGTAATGATGTCAACCTATTGCTCGCTCCTGACTTCGATGAAATCTAGCAATTTCGTCAAAATCTTTTGCTATTGATACTTAGACACTCTAGAAAAATACCTTGCAAGCATTATGAACTTGTACTTCAGATCATCCAGAAAAAAAGCCGTTTATCTATTCAACTGGCGTTCGTGGTTTTGATTTTGATTAAAGATCTTTTCAAATAACTAGGAATTTAAATGAAATTTATGAAATTTAATCAAAAAGAAACGTCGGAAGGTTTATAGGAGACAAATCTTGCATCCTCATTTTGCAGTTGTGAATGTATGTTTCTGTATGATGTTGATAAAATTCTTAGATGACTCGTGCTTACACATCCATTAATTTCAAAATGAAATTATGAACGAAATTGCTATTAATATCCACTGCGATCCTTTTTCACAACTAGCCTCGCTTGAGACACCGTCGGGTAAGAAAATTGAGCCCACAATCACACCGATCCCAGAAGAGCCGGGAAAATACGAAATGGCTTACGTGCCCGAGGAGACTGGTAACCACAAACTAAACGTAAAATATGGCAAAGATCACGTCAAGGATAGTCCTTTCCGGGTTAAAGTTGCCCCAACTGGTGACGCAAGTAAGGCGAAGGTTAGCGGTGATGGTCTGAAGAAACCTCCTGTTGGTCAATTGGTTGATATAATTTTTGATACAACTGAAGCAGGAAAAGGTTGGTTAGCTTAAAGTAACTTCAATGGTTCTTTCAAAAGTTTCTTCAAAGTCTGCAATTGCGATGTTTTGCGGTCGGTTATGGATTGTGTTTTCAAATTGAAACGTATTCAATCGCTCATAAACTTTCTTCGATTTCTTTTAATTACTTTGTGACAATTTTTCAGAAAATCATCAATCATGAAAATAGACGTTTGGATCCAATGTGTTTTTCACTTTACTTAGCTTTCGTATCGATTTTCCTAATCGCAGGTAAACCTCGATGCACCATCAAATCACCTTCCGGAAAAGATGTTCCCGTCAATATGATCGACAATGGCGATGGAACATACACTGGTCAGTGGACACCAACGGAGGAAGGTGTGCACGATGTTGATGTGACGTTTGGTGGCGAACCCGTGAGAGGATCACCGTTTAAGGTCGAAGCTGTAAGACAGCCTATAATGGAAGACATCCAAGCTGTAAGTGCTAATGATGTCGAATCGGCTTTACCATCTGAGGAAGGTCCCGACAGGGTTATTGCGTTTGGTAAAGGACTGGAGAAAGGTATTGTTCAAGAACCGTGTGAATTTACCGTTATCACAAAGGATGCCGGACCAGGTGGTTTATCACTCGCAGTTGAAGGACCCAGCAAGGCTGAGATACATTGTGTGGATAATGGAGATGGATCCTGTTCTGTTTCATATTTACCTGAAAAGCCAGGTATGTTTATTTCAGTTGTATAAATGTAAAAATATGGGTTTCGCTATATACATTCCGTACGTCCTGTGTCCCAAGTGCAGGAGTCACCATTGCACTGTGGTGATAGCCGGGAGGGCACATTGTATATACACTTTGTATATATTTATACATTTATTTTACTAATGCAAATGATTTTACAATTTGTAAGCAAATGATTTCGAAATTTACAAATGTGTTTATCGTGGGTATAAATGGGTTTGCTGTCTATAAATTGCTAAAGTATTTCCATTCAGGTTTTATTATTTATAAATTGGTTTTACCATATATCAGTAGTTTTGCTATACGTCGAACATAAATAAGCACTGCGATTTCATTCACTTACAACGGAAGAGACAGTTTCTTAAAAAAGAACAACATTTGCAACATCGATATTAACCTTCCAACTTTGAACTGTAGCAGCTTCATGTGGAATTAATTTGTCGTATCGGTGTAATTACCAGGCGAATACAACGTTTTCATCAAGTTTGCTGACAAGCATATTCCCGGAAGTCCATTTATTGCCGACATCTATCCGAAAGGAACCGATCTTCGCGATTTCAAACGAGATCGTCCCGTCGTCGGAAAACCGTGCGATGTGAAACTTGACATGCCAGATGTTGATGTCGAGCGAGATTTTGATGATCTCACAGGGACGTTTAAAAGACCAGGCAGCGATAGAGAGGAGCCAGTTGAGTTGACCAAAAACCCTGATGGTACCGTTGGTGTCACATTTACACCATACGAACCAGGTGTGTGTTCCTGTAGCACATTTTTTTAATGCTGACTTCGTCCCTTTAATCAACTAGAGCTGTGGTGTAAATCTATACCAGAATTGTGGTGTAGATCTATACCAGAATTGTGGTGTAGATCCCAGTTAAGATCCATCTGTATTGACGTTAATTTCATTAATTAATACGCAGTGGAGAAAATATGCCTAACGTCGAAATTCTTGTTTTGTAGGTGAACATCTGATTAGCATAAAGAAACGTGGCAAACACGTGCAGAATAGTCCGTTCAGCGTGCTGGTTCAAGCACCTCGTCTGGGCGATCTGTTTTCCTCAGGTCATCCTGCGGATGTTGACCTCAGTGAAATCAAGGATTTGAATCCTGAAGACTTTGATAAACTTACCGCAACTCATCGCAGACCCAAAAGCAAAGTCGAAGAGAATGTTCGTCTGATAAAGTATCACGACGATGCCATTGGCGTGCCGTTCGTGCCACGTGAGCCAGGAGAACACTTCCTGACTGTGAAGAAAAATGGTCGTCCTATCCCTGGAAGTCCATTCTCGATCCTAGTTGAAGCCGAGGAACCCGTCAATGCAGTTGGTGCACCCGTTGATGCAGTCCTTGATCTACCCGATTTAAATCTACCTGATGATTTTAAAAGACTTAAAGGTATTTTGCATTTGTAGTATGTTCGGTGTATGAATTTCTTGAAAAGAATTTCCCTGGGATACCGAAAACCTAATAAGCTAAGGAAACAAAGAACTTAAGTACCTTAAGAAAAAGAGGAAGTGAATATCTTAGGAACGAGAGAACATGAATATCTTTGGAAAGAGAGAACATGAATATCTTAGGAACGAGAGAACATGAATATCTTTGGAAAGAGAGAACATGAATATCTTAGGAAAGAGAGAACACAAATACCTCAGGAAAGAGAGAACATGAATATCTTAGGAAAGATAAAACGTGAATATCTTTGGAAAGAGAAAATATGAATATCTTAGAAAATAGAAAACACAAATATTTCAGGAAAGAGAAAACACGAACACCTTAAGCACTTCAAAAATAGAAAACATAACTATTTGTTCATAACTGTGTAGCATCACAGCAAAGCTACATTCAATGATATTTTGCAATTCCTTTTCAGGCACTCTAAAAAGACCATCTTCAAATGAAGAAGAACCTTTGAATCTCGTCCTCAACTCTGACAACACTCTTTCGGTCTCCTTCATTCCTCATGAAACTGGCAAACATTTGGTTGGCGTGAAAAAGTTCAACCGTCACGTGAACGGAAGTCCGATACCAGTCATGGTGACATTACCGGAACCTGTGAACCGTGTCGAAGTACCTTGCGGTGTCGGACTGGAAAACATTCCTTGGGAACTTCCGAACTTAGGCAGGTCTTCAACGACCTGGTTCTAATGTTGAGGAACCAGTTCGAATAAAGAAGAACTCAGACGACACCCTGTCTGCTTCATTTGTTCCACATGAGAAAGGTCCTCATAAGCTACATGTTCGGAAAGACAAGAAACCGTTGCCCGAGCCCGTACATTGTGGACGTGTCCGATAAAGATGATGTTGAGGAAGTTTATCCAGTAGGACGAACTTGCGAACTCGGTCTCGACATCCCGGAGTTTCCCTCGGAAGATTTCAACAAACTTGAGGCGACTCTCCAAAGACCGAACAGCGATAAGCAAGAGCCTTTGAATGTTGAGCTGTACCCTGATAATACTTTAGGTTTGCGAAGGATTACACAAAAATTTATTGTATTTCATTAAGATGGATAGAAGTGTAGTTTCTTATGTAACATACAAATAGGTTAACAATGGATACCATTGATCACAATGCTCACTGTTATTTTCTTCAGGTATCTCGTTCGTACCCTTGGAGCCTGGTGAGCACCTTGTCCGTGTGAAAAAGTCCGGGGAAGAAGTTCCCGGTAGTCCTTTTGCCATTATGGTGGAAGCTGCTGAAGCGCCAAACGCAGTTGGTAAACCTTGTGACAGCAAATTAGATATTCCTGAGCTGAAAATCCCGGATGATCTACCAAAAGTAAAGTCGACATTAAAGAGGCCTGGATCCAATGTTGAAGAACCAATCAAATTGAAGGTCTTATCGGACAACACTATCAGTGCTTCTTTCGTTCCTAAATCTCCCGGAGAGCATCTGATCTCAGTCAAGAAAGATAACCGCCACCTGACCGGAAGTCCTTTCCCAATTATGGTTACTGCTGATGAGCCCGTGAACAGAGTTGGAAAGCCAGTTGGAGTAGGTCTCGAAGAGATACCAGCTGAAGATTTGCCCCGTCTTGAGGCCGGGTTACAAAGACCTGGCTCCGAGGTCGAGGAGCCTGTCAGAATAAAACAAAATTCGGACGATACGTTGTCGGCTCAGTTCATCCCCCACGAGGAAGGAGTTCATAAACTTCATATAAGAAAAGACAAAAAGCCGCTTCCCGAAAGTCCTTATTTGATCAACGTTCTAGGAAAGGATGCAGTTGAAGAGGTGAGTGATTGGGGTGTTTAATTATATCAGAAGCGTCACTTCCGGAAAAATGGCGTGCTTTTTGGCTAGAAACATTTTGCCGGTCCATTACTTTCCCAGCGGTCTATTACACGTAATTCAACAATTAAATGTAAACAAACTTCGTAAAGCAAACAGCGAAGGAAAAAACTCGGAAAGTGAGTTTTTACTATCCAGACGACACCATTCCAAACGATTTATTTTTTACTGACAAAAACTAGAGAAATAAAAGCCAACGTATACAAAATTGCCAGAGTAAGCAAGGAAAGAAAGCTTTGTTTCAGGTGAAATAATGCCATCTAATAAACCTTTTATTAACTTCGCTTTCTCGGTCTTAAACGTGAAATATAGGACTTCTTTCTTTTTTGCACAAACATCGCGCTACGGGCTCGGTCTATACAAAAAAAAACACTTCGGTGCGATATTTCTCCGTAAAAACCTCGCGCTCTGTAAATAATTGCTTGTTCATCTTCTCCTAATTATTGCAGACGTAACACCTGCAGCTTTTAACGTAAACTGCTATGTACGTGCATTCTATTGAGAAAACTTATGTCTTCTAGGTCCATCCCGTGGGTCGTACGTGTGATGTAGGTCTGGATGTTCCAAGTATCAATCCTGCAGAAGATTTCGACAAGTTAACTGCAACATTACAAAGACCGTCGAGCACCAAGGAAGAACCCGTCACTTTAGAATTGAATCCCGACAACTCCATGGGTAAGTTGCATTATTGTTTCTTACGTTATGTCGTTGGTCGTGTTTGTTTCTGTGGCAAGTACACCGTCTCCTCTTTAGCCCACTTCTCGGTTACAACTTTCAGGGTTTCCCTGTTTTCAAGATGTACACCATTGATCATTTTTAGTCGTTCGAACGCCCATATATAGTTTTTGTTTCATTCAAACAATTTCAGCACCGTTGAAATATTTATGCCATGCAAATAGCAACCTCAGCGATACGCGTACATCTGTGTTGAATTAATTAACTTAGATGTTAATGGATTAAATCTTCCTGAAGATTTACCGAAGTTAACTGCAACTCTAAAGAGACCTGGATCCAATGTTGAGGAGCCTGTCGAACCCAAAGCAACGTCAGATGGCAACCTTAGTGTTTCATTTGTTCCCAAGTCTCCTGGTGAACATTTAATCACGGTCAAAAAACGTAACCGTCCCGTACTAGGTAGTCCGTTCTCCGTCATGGTAACAGCACCTGAACCCCCTTGTGAAATTGGCAAACTATCTAATGCTCCTCTAGAAAATATCCCATCCAAAGATCTTCAAAAACTGGACACTGGTCTATTGCGACCTGGCTCCACGAAGGAGGAACCAGTTCCGGTTAAAAAGACCTCCGATGATGATCTTTATGTTCCGTTTATTCATCACGAAGCTGGACCTCATAAAATCAATGTAAGAAAGGGCGGAAGGCCTGTTCCAGATAGTCCATACATTGTGGATGTACCTGAAAAGGTTTCGAAAAAGCCTCCAGTCGAAGAACTTCATCCTGTCGGTAAAGCATGTGATTTTGGTCTCGATATACCTGGAGTAAATATTCCTGGTGATTTCAAGAAACTAAGTGCGACATTGCAGCGTCCAAGCAGCAAGAAAGAAGAACCATTAAATCTGGAGCTTAATCTCGATAACACCTTGGGTAACATACTAGTTCGCTCTCCTACAATTTTCCTCAAATTTCTTCAAGTGATTTTGTCAACGTTATTTAACGGAAATAATCAAATGCAAATCCCAATGATCATCGTCAATGATTAATCGTCGTTGCAAATATTAATGACATAATGAACTATCGAATCATCGAATCACTAACGCTTCTTTTTTGATTTATTGTGCCAATATTAACGTCTTTAGTTTGTTTTTAGCATCCTGTTTTCATTTTTATATTTGTCCAATAGGAATATCATTCATTCCAACGGAGCCTGGAAAGCATCTTGTTCACGTGGAAAAATCTGGAGAAGAACTTCCCGGCAGTCCTTTCGAAGTAATGGTAGAAGCTGCTGAAGCAGTGAACGCTGTCGGTAGACCGTGTGACTGCCATTTGGATATACCTGGCTTGAATTTGCCCGCAGATCTTAGTAAACTAAAATCAACCTTAAAACGGCCTGACTCTGATACAGAAGAGCCAATCAAATTAAAGGTACTCTCCGACAACACTCTTAGTGCGTCGTTTGTGCCCAGATCCCCAGGAGAGCATTTGATAAGCGTGAAGAAGTTCAACCGACACTTGAGCGGAAGTCCATTCAGGTGAGGGAAAACATTGAAATTGTTAATAGAATTATCCTATTGTATTCTTAGAGTTAAACTACAATCGTAAATTTACTTAAAAATTTCCGAAAACTTATGTCATATCGATTAATGAAAGCGTTTTCATTGGCAGATCACTTTTCATTTCAATTATATATGCCGCTGAAGCTACTTTCTATTTTGTTCTAGTGTCATGGTAAGTGCCCCGGATGCTGCTAGCCAGTCTGTCGGTCGACCGTGTGGAGTTGGTCTAGAGATACCTGGTTTAAAACTTCCTGAAGACTTCGACCTTCTGACAGGTGTTTTGAAACGCCCCGGAAGCACTGTGGAAGAGCCGTTGAAGCTCATTCTCAACTCAGATAACACGCTCAGTGTATCGTTTATACCAAAAGAAACGGGGGAACATTTTGTAAGCGTGTTTAAGAACAAACGTCACGTGAGTGGGAGCCCGTTTTCAGTGATGGTCAGCGGTCCCGGGCCCGCCAATGCATCTAAAGTAAAGGCCTACGGTCCAGGTTTGTATGTATACTGCTTGAAACTTATGCCTCTCAAAGGAAGTTTTCCTAGATTTGTGTTAAACGTTTTCGACTGTTATTTCTTCATATATTTTTTTATATTTTACATGTGCCTTGTAATTTTGTTTGCTGTTCAAATAACACCTAAACGAAATTATTGTACTCAAAAAGTTTTCATTTTGAATGTTTATTATGATCTTGATATGCCTTTTCTCGCAATTGATCCAAAATGTATCAGTAACGACTACTTCTGTCACAGGTTTGAAATCCGGAGTGGTTGACGAGAAATCGGAATTCACCGTGAATACTCGTGATGCCGGATACGGAGGATTGGGCTTGTCCATCGAAGGACCTTCAAAGGCAAATATCAATTGCGTGGATAATGGGGATGGCACGTGTGCTGTGGACTTTGTTCCTACAGAGCCTGGTGATTACACCATTCACGTACGTTTTGCCGATGAAGAAATTCCCGGAAGCCCATTTTCGTGCAAGGTAGCTCCAAAGGGCAGCAAGCGTCCTGTTGTTGACGAAGGGATTACGAGGGAGATGGTTGATGGTGTGGAGAGTGCACCTGCGCAGAGAACCTCTCAGCTTCTGGATGATCTAATTTCCTTTAGTCCTCAAGAACCGCACGACTTTGATCTGGACCTTGCGGGTTACGATCTGAAAAACTTGAAAGCAACTGTGGAAAGTGGGAGAAGAAACTGAACCGGCCGAAATTGTCGAAACTGAAAACGATACTTACACTTCGCTTTGTAACAAAAGAAGGTGGAATATACAAGGTTTGTGAAAAGATATTCTCTAGGTGTTTGTAAATTTATTGTAGTAAATAGTTTGTTACACTTGCAAAAATACTAGATGAAAAAATGTTTGTGCTCAAGTCAAGAGGAGACTTGCCATCGAAGCACATTTCATGCTCTTATGATCACTGTTCAATTTTCCTAGATCTATGTGAAGAATCGCGGTCGAGATATACCTGGAAGTCCTTTCCGAGTAAAGGTGGAAGCACCGAAATGGGGTGGCGCAGGTAAGTGCTCAGCTGCGGGGCCTGGTCTTGAACGTGGCGTTGTGAACCAACCGGCAAACTTCACCGTCTGGACACGTGACGCTGGCCCAGGAGGCCTGGCGGTTGCAATCGAAGGTCCAGCCAAAACGGAAATTAATTGTATAGATAATGGAGACGGCTCGTGCAGCATCACTTACGTTCCAACTGAACCTGGCGAGTATGTCGTGCATGTCCGATTTGCTGACGAAAATATCCCAGGTGCACCGTTCAACGTCTTTGTAACAACGGAAGAAGACGAGCGTTTCCGAGATTTGAGTGCTTCCGACATGTTGGAGAATGGAATTACAGTTGGTCAACCTGCTTCTTTCTCTGTTCAAACAAACGGCCCAGTTGGTAAAGTCACCGCTTCTGTTATTGCACCTTCCGGTACCGAGTCCCCAGCGACCGTTTCAGATCGTGGTAATGGTAGCTACGCGATAAGATTTGTCCCCAAGGAGGTCGGCATTCATTTGATCAATGCTCGATTCGATGGTGTGCATATTCCGGGTTCTCCGTTCAAGGTTAAAGTTGGTGGAGGTGAAAGTTACCCCAGTAAGGTAAAGGCATACGGTCCCGGATTGGAAGGTGGTGTTGCCGGCGAAGAAACCTACTTCACTGTTGATGCTTTACGAGCGGGCACCGGAGCGTTGTCGCTGTCGGTTGATGGACCTGCAAAGGTACGAATGAATTGTACGGAAAACCCCGATGGAACGTACAAAGTAACGTATCATCCAGTTATTGCCGGCGAGTATAAAATTGTCATCAAGTTCGCCGATCAAAACATCCCGAAGAGTCCTTACAATGTTACAATATCAAGCGACGGTTCCTCTGCATTTGCCGAAAAGTGTAAGCCGGTCGGATCCGGATTGCATCGTGCCGTTATCGGTGAGCCAAATGCGTTCACAGTCAACTGTAGTGATGCAGGTCGAGGGTCTTTGATGGTCGGCGTAGAGGGACCAGCTATTCCTGCTAAACATATCAAGATTAAGCACACTGGTGGAAAAGTTTATGCCGTTAACTATACCTTAGAGGAACCCGGAGAATATGTTTTGAAAGTGTTGTGGGGTGAAAAGCACATCCCTGGCTCGCCATTCCATGTAACTGTATAACGATGCGAATGACGCGGTTG